ATAAGAAAAACAGCAATCGGGAGAGAGAAACATTCCAAAATGACCAGCGTTGTCCCTTGGTCGAACTAGACCCTGTTGGTCGAGCCGGACCACTACTTGGTCGAACCAGACCCTGTGCTCTATCCAACCCTAGCTGGCGGCGTCTCTAGTCTCCCACAGCGCCGCCGTCTCCAGCCACCCACGCCGTCGTCTCCAGTCTCCCGTAGCGCCGCCGTCTCCAACCAACCACGCCGCCGTCTCCTGCCACCCACACCGCCGTCTCTTCCCCACGATCGGCGTGCCATGGATGCATGAAGATGGCTTCACGGCGAATCGAAGCGGCTCGCTTGAGCATAGATTCACCGTCCCAAGGAGTGAATCATCATGGGTTCCCGAGGGTATGCACTCTTATCCTCTTCCACTTTTCGATCCGGGGTTGGTTAACGTGGTTGCAAAGTGAACTTGGGGGTCGATTTATGATCCGGGCTAGGGTTTTCATGATTTCTTGTTCTTGTCCATGTTTTAGGATGGACAATAGTTCTGCATTACGCATAGCAGTGCGTGTCCTATGTTACTATGAGGCTTGCGATGACGGTAGAAATGTGGCTCACAATGCAGCAGATTTTCAGCTCATTGTTGATAGGGACACTCTGAATCGGATTGATTTAAGTAAGGATGTAGCTGCCAAAGTGTCTATTGGGAAGAATCAGGCTTCAATTTGACATATTTCGACAAGAACACCCAATGCTATACCAATCTGACCTCAGATGCAGCTTTGATGGATGCTACTAACAATTATTGGCACCTAAGGCGGCTACCTTTGTTTGTGAATTTTTATGACATGATTCCTATTGCATATAGTCAGAGTGTGTCTTTGGATAATGAGGCCAGTGCATCTGTTGCTCTCCCATTGCTGCCCCCTCTGCTTGATCATGATGATGGGCAGAACAATCAGATTGTTGAAACTGTTGGGCCTGGTGGAGGTGAGGCCGATGTGGAGTCACTTAGTGAGGGAGAAACTTAAAGTGGCAATTGGGACTCCTCCAGGCCTGGTCATATGTCACATGCAGGCAAAGGAATAGATAAGGGAGTTACATATGTTTTCCCAAATGGAGTAGAGCATAGAGAGTGCATGAGGCATCTAGTGAAGAATTTTAACAAGAGGTATAGAGTAGTGTTCAAGAAACATTTGTGTCCAGCAAGTAGAGCTTACAACCAGAGGCACTTTGATCACCATTACAACATCATGAAGCAAGCTTCACCAAGCTCAATGAACTGGATAGAGGACAACCACAAGCACATATGGAGTAGATGGAAGTTCTCTCATGCAAGCAAATGTGACTATGTTACTAACAACATAGCATAGACCTTCAATAGTTGGATTAGGAATGAGAAGTCCTTGGCTTTAATTCCTCTGTTGGATAGGATTAGGCAAATAGATCATGCAGCTATCAAAGGTGGCAGATTACTGGATTGCCATGTACTCATGCTCTCTGCTTCATCCATTCCATGCGCAACAGAAGTGTGGAAGACTACATAGATGACTATTATTTGGTTGATAAGTTCAAGAAAGCATATGAACATGTGATAAGTCCCATGACAGATAGAAACCAGTGGCCTGATGTGGACTTGGGTTTCAAACTTTGGCCTCCAAGGTTCAAGAGAGCTACAGGCCGGCCCAGATCAAGAAGGATAAAAGGTTCTGAAGAAGGTGGCAAGCAAAAAAGCCAGCGCCAGTGCAAGAGGTGTGGAGGGTTTGGTCACATGATGAAGACCTGTAATGAAACTGTCTATGACTCTGATGCACCACCAAAGCCCAAGAGAGCAAAGAAAAAGAAAAGGCACTGCCACAACAACTGTCTCTACCCAACAATCATAGATTGAAGGTGCTCAAGAAACAACTGTCTGTCCTACTCTGACAAACAGCCCACCAAACATTGCACCACCAGCTCTAACAAACAGCCCCGCAGCAAACACTAGGAGGTAAGTGTAAAGACTTGATGCCTGTTATCTATGACAACATACTGTTATTTATCTTTCTAATGTTGGGTATGACTACAGCCGCAAGAGGGCATTGGAGCTAGGTGGTGAAACTTCCTCCCCAATAGTAGAAGTGCAGCATCAAAAGAAGAAGAAGAAAAAGGTGGTGACCACCAAGGCTACTGGAGAAGAAATGCAGGCTGGGGAAAAGGAGGCAAGCAAGGCCGGCAAGAGGATCAGCAAGAAGAAGCTCATCCTGGACCTGTGATGCATGTCTTATGTAATGGATCTATTTTGTGGTGAACCTGTTATGTAGTGTGATGAACCTATTATATAGTGAACTTATTTGGTGGTGATGATGGACCTATGAACTTGTTATGTAGTGTGCTAAACATGTTATGTAGTGTGATGAACCTGTGAACTCAGTTATGCAATCTCAATCATGAACTCAGTTGGTAGACTTTGTTGTGTGAAGTGATCAAATTAAACCTGGATGCATGTTTTTGCAACAATTTGGCACACCGTTTTCTTGCCCCATCATTCATGAACTCAGATACAATTTGGCAGACCATTTTCTTGCAACATAGTTAAGATGCATCATTGATTTCAAACAAGGTACAAATAAGCTGGATACATGTTCATGACCAACAACACTAACTGGATACATGTTCATGACCATGACCAACAACACTAACTGGATACATGATAACCAGGATACATGACAACATGTTGTTCTGCTTCACTTGACCAACAACACTAACAGAACTAACACCAAAACAAAAACCATTACACCACCAACTACAAGCAGCCGCTCTCCAATTTTATTCATGTTGGTCAACAATTTCTTGTTGCTCTCAAGTACTGACTTCAGTAGTGCCTCTGAACCTTGGAGACGAATCACTGCAGTCTCCAACAGATCTTGGCAGCCATCAAATCCTTGGTAGGCCTTCTCCTTGTCATTGCCTTCCCTCATCACCTCGAGCGCCATGTCACCCTGAACTCGAACCTGACTACAAGCGCGAGGAAGAACGCCTTTGGCGACCAAGTAATTGATATACTGTTCCTCAAAGTAGTACACTCCACACGCAAAGTCGGTCTGGCAAACAAGAGATGAAAAATCAAAAAAATGCGCATCTCCTCAAAACCAGATCAGAAGTCAACGACCACTTACATGCTCAAGCAGTGGACACTTGTAAAACCTCTTCCCCTTGCTGCCAGGCTTCTGCGACACGCGCCCGATGAAAACGGTTCCGCATTTGTGGCAAGGAACCAAGGGCAAGAATCCAGCTTGGTCTATGTAGGGGTCGAGCGACGGCGAAGCTGGGTGCGGCGCGTCGCACGGTGTGGAATGCGAGCTCGATGCCATGGCTCGAAGCTAGGGTTCGTCGAGATGGGGAATGAGGATGGGGAGAGAGACTGACGAGAACGAGAACGGGGGAAGGAAGAAGACGACCGGGGCCGAGTCGAGCTGGTCCAACCGGACCACCTAAATGATAGGACTCAGGCCGACAGGGTAAAACATCTCTTTACTGTGCTTTCTCTCTCCCGATTGATGTTTTTTTTTATTTTAATGGAGGCGGTGTCCACTGGCAAACGTTCGCGATTTCATAATGGTACTCAGCAAAAGCAAGTGTTGGCGGTGTGTTGCAGCCAATTTGTTGTTTTCGCGATGTCCCACAACAAAAATTGCCAATTAAAATTAGGTTCTAAGATCTTGCGGTCAATAGGCCAATGGTTATTGTGGTCATCAATTATTAGAAAAGGTATAAATCTACTATCTCTAGTGCTCTAGATACAGTGTGTGTTTTTCAATCTCGGTAAGCAATAAGTTTTGACAAAGAAAACCTCATAGCGCATCTTTAAACTTTCCTTTCAATTAGTCGTTTGTCAAGGTGCCTTGTTATTCTCAATAATATATAGATCTAAAGGGACTTTTTAGTGTCTATTTCGAGGAAGAAGATATGTTTTCATCAATTTTAGACACTATTTGGTTGGGTTTCTCTTTCTCCTCTAGCCACATTAGTTCACAAGTTCGCAAAAAAAAAGTTGAGCCTAAATTTTAGCTTAGTTGTGGTAAATTTGGTTTAAGACAAAATTAGTCCTTAACAGTTCCTATGATCCGAGTTGCTCTCTGGCCTTGAATGTGGATATATATATGTTATGAGGCTTTATTTATATTCCTTCAGCGAAAAAGGTGACATTTTGGATATGAGGCTTTGCTATGCTACTCTAGTTACTTCTTACTAGAAAATAAGGCTTCAAAAAAAGCATGATCCTCGAACTTTAGAATAGATGGATACTTCTTCCGTTCTTTTTAAGATGTCATACTAGCTTTGTTCTAAGTTAAATATTTTCATTTTTTATTACCAATTTTAAAAGTTCCATGTAGTTTCACAACATGTAAATTATATATTATAAGAATATTTGTTATAGTGAATCTAAAAACATAAATATTGTATTGTTAAAATGTACATTTTTAAAAAAACTGATAATCAAAGTTAGATATGTTTTACTTAAGAAAAAGCTAACACGGCATGTAAAAAACAGAGCGAGTAGTTTTTAATGTTTCAAAAGAAAAAAAAAATCCCTAAGATCTCAAGGCAGCGGACCTGAAATAGTATGGGCCGTTCCAGAAAGAAAGAATAACGACGGGCCTTACGTATGAGGCAACCGTGTGTGTTACTGCCCACCCCGGCGGCCCGGCAGGCCGGCACCTCCCTCTCTTCTCTCAAAATAAAGTATGGCGCATATTGTTCTTGTGGCGCCCTGGTGTTACTGACAGTGACAGGAACAGAGAGCAAAGTCAGTAGACTGTTAATGGCCTGTGTAATCTAAAATGTTTTTTTTTTTATTATTCAAAGGGACCAATTGCTTTACATCCTAAAATTGTAAACGTATAAACATTGGTTACATTAATCTCCTTTCCTTTGAACATAACCAAAGTATATGAATCAAAACTATGGTAAAAATTGTACATGACATGAGCTACATACAGAGCATACAAGCCCGCTAACGCCAGGGTTGTCTTTGGTCACCGCAGTCTATAGGTAACTGGAGTCCGGCGACGTCGTGAACACCGGCTTGTCCTTGTCCACGACAGTGGCGGGCACCGTGGCGCTGCTGCTCTTGCGACGCGGCTTGGCCTCGCCGAGCATGGTCACCACGTCCCGCATCGTGGGCCGGTCCTTCGGGGACTTGGCCGTGCACAGAACCGCGATCCGCAGCACCAGGAGCATCTCCTCCCGGACGTGGTCGACGCGACCGCCGACGCTGTCGTCGAGCAGCTCCTCCACGCCGCTGTTGCTGCGCAGCCGCTCCCTGATCCAGCCGACGATGTCCTGGCTCTCGCCGTACTCCGGCTCCACCGGCCGCCGCCCCGTGAGGAGCTCCATCAGAACCACTCCGAAGCTGTAGATGTCGCTCTTCTGATCCACCTTCAGCGTGTACCCGTACTCTGCAACAAGCAGCCAGATTAACATCAGTACACGAGGGCGTCGAGGTGAATGAACTCGCTGTTCACGTGACGATGCGGACGTCGGCAATTGGCACTGACCTGGCGCGATGTAGCCGTAGGAGCCGGCGACCACGGACACGGTCTCGTGCGCGCGCGCCATGACGCGGGCGAGGCCGAAGTCGGCGATCTTGGCGTCCATGTTGGTGTCGAGGAGCACGTTGCTGGACTTGACGTCGCGGTGGATGACCGGCGGCCGACAGTCGTGGTGCAGGTACGCGAGCCCGGCCGCGACGCCCGCCGCGACGTTGTACCGCGACACCCAGTCCACCAGCATCTTGCCCTTCCCTCGCCCGTGCAGCGCCTCCCACAGGCTGCCGTTCACCATGTACTCGTACAGCACCATCGTGTCCAGGTTGTTGCTCACGTAGCCCAGCATGCGCACCACGTTGCGGTGGCGGAGCCGGCCGAGGAGCTTCACCTCGGCGGCGAACTCGCCGCCCGCCTCCGCGTCCTGCCGCCCGTCCACCGTGGCAGTCTCCTCGGGGCACCCGGCCGCGCGCCACAGCTTCTTGACGGCGACGACGGCGTGGTGGCGTGACATGTCGGCGCGGTAGACCACGCCCGTGCCGCCCATCCCCACGATGTTGTCCTCCTTGATGCAGGCGAGAACCTCGGCGCTGGTGAAACTCAGCCGCTGGAAGGCCGTGAGGCGCCACGGCCACGCACCGCTCCCGTCTTCCTCCATGGCCTCGTCGCAGCATCCTCCATTGACGTACCACCGCTGGTACACCTGCTTGCCAAGGAAGACGACGCCGCATGCCGCAATCAAGACTGAGATGCCGATCGCCCACCCAGCGGCGATGTGCTTCATGTGTGAGCGCCGGAGGCCAGACGCCTCAGACGAGGACGCCCGAAGAGAGGTAGCCCCGCACGGCGGCAGCACGCCACCACACAGGCCCGGGTTGCCAGCAAGGTCGTCGGGGTTAATGGTCCTCAGCATACCAGTTGTTGGCACGGGACCAGTAAGGTTGTTGTACGCCAGGTTGAGCATTTCGAGCGCCGGTGAGCTGCCGAAGTTGCTCGGTATCACGCCGGAAAAGAAGTTGCTGGAGAGGTCGAGCACAGACAATGTCGACATCATGGCGATCGCACCAGGGATCTGCCCGGTGAACCGATTGCTCCGGAGGTTTAGCGAGACGAGCCTCTGGCACGACGCGAGGCTGGCCGGGATTGCACCGGACAGCCGGTTGCTGGACAGGTCGAGGGCGGACAGAGATGGGCAATCGCTAATCTCGTCCGGTACACCGCCGGTCAGCTCGTTGTCGGCCGCCGCGAACGTTTGCAGCGTCCGGATGGACAGGATGTTTGACGGCAGCGCGGACCGCAGCTGGTTGTGCGAGAGGTCGATGAAGGAGAGCGACGTCGAGAGCGGCAGGTCGTCTGGGATCTCCCCGGACAGCTCGTTGCCGGCGAGCTCGAGACGCTGCAGCCGCGGGAGCCGGCCGAGCCCCGCGGGCACCGTGCCGTTGAGCCGATTGTTGTGAGCGCGCACGCGGACAAGCGACGAGCACGTGGTCAAGCCCGCCGGAATCGGGCCTGTGAAGACATTGTTGAACAGGATCAGCTTCGTCAGGTTGCCGCTGTCGCAGAGGCCGGCCGGCACCGGTCCGGACAAGGCGTTCGTCGACACGTCGAGCCACTGCAGCGGCTGCGAGCTGCCGAGCGACGGCGGCAGCGGGCCTGTGAGGGAGTTGTTCCACAGCTCCAACACCTCCAGCTTGGGGAGGTCGCCGATGGCCGCCGGGATGCCGCCCTTGAGCCTGTTGCACATGAGGTTGAGCAACTGCAGGTTGGCGAGCTGCCCCAGCTCCACCGGAATCGTGCCGGTGAGGGCGTTGTCGGAGATGTCCAGCATGACGAGGGAGGTGAGGTTGCCGATCTCCTTGGGTATCGGGCCGCCAATGTTGTTCTTGTAGAGGTAGACAGTGTTGAGGTACGACAGCCGGCCGAGCTCCGGCGGGATGGGGCCTTCCAGTTTGCCGATCGCCAGGTCGAGATACTGGAGGTTGGCGAGGTTGCCAATTGCGGCCGGGATCGCGCCTGTGAACTCATTATAGCCAATGATGAGCTGCTCCAATGCGGACATCTCGAACAGTTCGGCTGGGAGAGCGCCGCCGAGGTTGTTGCCGGAGAGGCCCAAGAACTTGAGCTTGCGGAGCTTGCCGTAGGACTTCGGGATCGTGCCGGAGAAGTAGCCACCCCTGAAGTCGAGCGTCTCGAGCGCGGTGGCATTGCCGATGTCGGCCGGGAGCGGGCCGGCGAAGTTGTTGCCCGACGCGTTGAGGGATGTCAACAAGGCGAGTGCACCGACGCCGGCGGGGAAGTGGCCGGCGAAGTTGTTGTCGCTGATATCCAACTCCTGGAGCGTCGGAATGGACACGAGCACCAGCGGAAGCTCGTGCTCGAACGCATTGCTCTGCAGGACGATCGAGGTGAGCCCGGTGAGGCCGAGGATGTCGTCGGGGATGGTGCCGCTCAGGTTCATGCCGGCGAGGTTGAGGCCGGTGACCACGCCCCGGGCATTGCAACGCGCTCCGTCCCATGTACAATGTGACGAGGCCGACGCCGAATTCCAGCCCCCGAGCTTACCCAAGGGGTCGACGAGCGACGCCTTGATGGCAAGCAACGCCGCGGCCTCATCGGCGGCGGCATTGCACACGGCAATGCAGCACAGGAGTGCCAAGGAGAAGGATAAGAGGAAGAACAGGTGTAGAGTGCTACCAAGCCTTGGAGCAGCACTTGTCATGCTCGGTTCTTCTGTTCTTCCCTTCTCCTTCACTCCTCTGCTGCCTCCTGCTGTCCTTCACTAGCAGAGTTGTGTTTTCATTGCCTTGTTTGAAGCAATAGAGAAATGGAGGGAAACTCGCAGGAAAGTATATAGGGGGGGTCATGTCTATGATTAGGATCAGATTAATCGAATAATTTATGTGTTTGGAGATGGATTGGATGATAAAAAATACTTGCTAGTGGCATGATACTGCACTGGTATACTGCTGCGTTGTTGTAGTGTTAGGTACATGGTTCAGTAGCCTTTGTGGGGCCTTGGGTAGCACAAGAACAGCTCGGTATGAGAGTGTAATGGTTGGGAGGAGGCATGGACATAGGCTGGAAATGCCTTTGGAATTATTGAGAGCTTGGGGAGACATGGCCCATGTGGTGAAGGGAATGTGTGAAAGGCAGATTGGTCACTCTTCATTGGCGAGAGATTTGTCTTGTTGAGTTAAACAAATGGAATGGCAATCATTGTATAAACGCAGAACATGGGGGGTTTCCACTGGAGTTTATTCCGTATTGTGTTCTTGTAGGCAGGGCACAGGCATAGTCAATTTTCAGTTATGATGAAAATTGGTGCTATGAAGAGTTGATTAAGCTTGAGGTTACCTTTCTTGTGCTGAAGATCTCTGAACCAAACACCCTGATTAGTTTGTGTTAATTTGACAATTATTTCAAGTAAATTACTGGCATGCAAGGAAGTAGTTGTATACTGTGTCCCTGAGTTTGGAAAGTACTCAACACTGGTAACAAACTACTTTTATCACCATTTCGGAAGAAATCAAGACCTCATACGGAAACCCAGTCATCCCTTCAGAGTTCAGAGAAACAAATAAATCATGCTTCAACTACTTGTGTGAACAATGGACGCCCACTAAACTGGACAGGCATGGTTAATGCCAAGATTACTTTATTTGCCTCTCGGTTAGTATAATGTACTACTGAAAGGAAGCAAAGCTACATTGGAGCAGCAGCAAGCGTGCTGTGGGTGTTTAACAAATGACTGATTCTAAAAGTAGTACTTTAATCTCATCTTGCAGTGTACAATGGAACTTGTGTCAGTGATCCTTGCAGGATGGAAATCTATTGGCACTGTAAGATTCTGTTCCAGGTGTCACCAGTAGCTCATATTTTTAAAATTTCTGCTACAAGCTTACAAAGAGTGAAAAGTGAGCAGGAATCTTCTATCCTTCCTTTTTGGTTAGGCTTGCCTGCCGGCAAGAACAAATCACGCTTAATCTCTAAATCATTGGATATTAATCAGTGATAGCACTGTACATATCTAACAGTCAAGTGAGGTTGTAATGGTACATTTGTAGCATCATACAAGTGAATCATAATGCATTACATGCAGTTCTCTGACAAAAATTCCTAGTAAATCTACTATTACAACAACAGTGAAAGTAATGTTTATGCAGCTTCCAATAAAGAAAGCAGTAAACTAGTCTGCATTTGTTGTAACGTTGTATCCGAGCTCTTAAAATTTTCGAAAGTAAAATTCCACTTATCTGCAAAAGATTACCACGTTGGTGGAAGCTGGGAGGAACAGGCATATTGGAAATTTGTTGTTAACATTTTCTTGATAATGGTACAGAAGCATATGCACAACTTGCCCAGGCCAAATAATTTCCAACACATGGAAGTCCGATTCTCTCTTATTTATTAGATTCTTGAGGACGTCAGGCTTTAGTTTCCTAAAGCACATTGGTGTGCTAGATTGTCAATTTTAGGGAATCTTTACCTTTAAGGCATTGTCATGAACTTTGACACTTTTTTTTAACAAATAAGCTATAATTTTGTACGTTTTGCATATACTGGTTCTATAGTATGTAAAAAATTTTGGGGGAAAAACCCCTTGAATATGACCAAAAATAATCTCCCAATGACAATATTCCATTTCTTATATGTATTGTCCTGATAAATAGAGAAACAAAGTTGATGAATTAGCAAGCCTTCATTCCATTTGCTTTTTTTTTTATCCTTTTCTATGTGTGAAGAAATCTATGGTGTGAAAGTCCAATAGAATTTCAAATGACACACTCAACAACATTCTTATGAATGAGGATGACGCAGCTGCTGCCTGCATAAAAAAATCTTGTAAAGTTCCTTGTAGTAAATGAGCTGCTCTGAAAAAAGTTCTGAATCTTGGGAAGCTGGCCTAGCTAGCCAAGCACTTGGAGTAAACTACTAATGCAGTAACAGGTACCACATGATGAAGCAAAGCTAGCACCACCCAAGCAAGTCCAAGAACTTCAATCAGCATCATCATACGGCATCTTCCTTTTCATGAACCTCCTCCTTTTTGATGTTACACCTATGTGATGTAAAATATGAATCTGTCATTGTCGGATCCGGTAATTGCTGAACCATTTCAGTTACGTTGATAAAATTTCTGCTTTCCTTTGGGCTTTGCAAAGAGGAATACACCGAGATCAGTATGCAATACTTGTTTGCCAATTATGCTTACATCAAACAATTTTGACACAAGTTCGTGACATTTTGTGCGTGAATCAAATAGGCCAGAAATTGAGAGAACAATGCAGGACGATAAACACAGTTCATTACCATACTAGCCATCTTTCATCCTGTCAGCTAGACGTGTAATAAGTTATGTAGCATCCATTATTTTGCTGTGGGAGACATCTAGATTATAAACAAGTACTGAAAAGAACAGGCAGCAACAGGACCCTTGTCCTCCCCTCAAAAAGTCAGCCCAACCGACTCAACTGTTTCCACCTTTATCAAGTGTACTACCCCCACAAAACTAATCCCCCCTTTGTACCTCAATTACACAACAAATAACATGATCCCTCCCCTAACTCCAATTACTCGCCCACCCTGGCTTCCTTTCTCTCAGAACCTTCCCATGTTACAGATGGGCAGCCATTATTGGACCCACCTGGCTGCTGGCGAACATGAACAAGATACACCAATGGATCCTTCTCCAGGCATGCATGCTACATTTCACACGTTTCCAGCACCGGGAAGTGTTAACATCAGTTCCAATATAGAAATGTAACTGCTCATTTCTATGTGTGTGAAAATTCAGTATCACAACTTCAAGTCCAAATTCCAGTTCCAGCAAGTTCAGTTAGTTTACAGATCGTGTACAAACTAGCTAACCTCAGCTAAACTTGCAACTTCATTTCCTTATAAAATTCAGTTAGGAATGCACTACATACATACTCAGTTGCAGACATGAGCCCAACTGCCAAGCGTGATAAGGGTGGCAAAGTTTTGGCTCAGCGGGTACAAGCAAGCCAAGGGGCAGGGAAAGATGGAGGCGGCAAGAAGGTACCTGACCCATGCATGCATTGCTAGTTGCAACACACACAATCATGCAAGATGCGGCCACCAACTGCAAGTGCATGCGATTAGCCTCCCTCCCTTCCAACTCGGTTACCGCCGCTTCGCCTAGCCCACATGCAGGCACACATGGCCTCCTCCATCCATGGTGGTTGCGCTCGCTTCTCCACCACCTTTGTTAATTCTCCGAAGCCAAGGGACAGCGTGGGGCTAAGATGGGGGCCATGTGAAGCAAGTCCCCTCGCTTTGCAGCTTCTGAAATTCTCTTGGAAGGGAGGATTTTTTTTTGAAACATTGGAGGGGTGGATTATTAAGCCATTATTGTGGCATTATCGTTTCTCCCGCTCTCTGCGGTTCATTTGTTTAGGTTATTCACCCTATTCGTCTGAACTTATCAGCCGTACCATTTCAGCGAAATAACAATATTTTTCTCACACAACAAATCAACATCAGCATCAGCCATTTTTCTAGCCAGCCGAAGTGGGCGATTATTAAGCCAAATGGTACTGGATGCAATATGCAGTTTAGATGCTCAACTCAAGCATCATGTACAGTATCGTTGAGCGATGGGTGTTTCGATATTATTGCTCCTCTCTGGAAATTATTCGAGTTGGGTGAAAGTAATGTGCCGTACATGGAGGGAAAATGTTTTCGTTTATCATCCGTAATAACAACGGGAAGAATAATAGTACAGGCTAGTTGCCGCAGCCAAACCTAGGATTATTGTGCAGGATTATTGGATTAAGCAGCTGCAGGCTGGCACATTCTTACGCACCACGTACTAGCTAGTACAACACCACATGCAAAAGCATAATGCTTTTTTGCATTGCTATCAATTGACTGCATGAATATAATCGGTAATGGAAGGAGCAGCCCGGCCCTCGTCGGATAAACGGCGCGCGCGACAACGTACCTACAAACACTAGCGGATGGTTGTGAGCGCTCGGACCTCTTGTCTGGCAACAAGGCGCCTCGCCTCGGCGCATAGAGTAATGGCGGTGCGGCTTACGAGTGAGTTCGCGTATCCGGAGGAGAATATTTGTTCGGTGGTGAAGTGAGAGCCTGGAAGGATTGTTTTTGTTGGTGGAACGGCACGTGCCAACTTGGTATACACTAAACCGTTAGATGGATCGAGAAGTGGAGCTGGACTGGGGGGAGTCCGGCCTCTCCTTCCTTCTTCGCAGGTGGTCAGGCACCCATATCATTGCACATTGCCACCCGTCATTAAGCTCGTCTTAAGCACATGGTTTGGTATAATCCCAGCGCGTACGCACTCCTGTCCCTGGTGCATTTGATTTTGTGAGACCCAGCCATTGGGCCAGTTGGGCCGAACCGAATTCAAGACACTGTAACTTCGAGGGTACTGTAGCAACGAGGAGAACACTATAGCTACGAAGTTTAGTGGAAGTTCGAGGAGAGCCGAGCCATGTTAAAAGCCTGGATGTGGGAGGCTGTTAACTCCGGATTGATTCCTTTTACGTGAAATGAGGATAAAAGCGTAAGAGAGTTAATTAGCAGGTGTGGTTTATGCAATGTGTAAAGTGGGCCTTAGCTGTCTTCCCGGGTCGGGACGTTACAAATGGTAATCAGAGCCAACTCTCACGGTTTTACGGCTGCGTATGGTCTGAAAGCCTGGACAGGTTGTGCATGGCTCCTGTGAGGGCATGA